TTTCAACAACAATAATGGCCAAATTCTAATACATTTCTATCAAATTGCTACCAATATTTAAAGCATTTGAAATTATTCAACAACCAATAAAAATATATCTCAAGTCAAATATTATAAATACTTTCATGAACACAAAGTTAGTTAAATACATACTACACAATACTTCATTGTTTTTGTTGAAACAATTGATTTGACCAAAGGAGAAGGAGACAATTGATTTCGTACCCATAGATCACTTCTTCCAAGTCTTAAGTTGAATATTGAGTGGTAGCTATTTAATTGTCCCACTCGGTATTTAATACTCTTCCATTACACTTGTGTGGTAAAGTTAAAATTAACTTGCTTCTTTTTTAATCTCAGAAGATATTTATTCCTCACTCTCGTATTATCGATCGTGATTACTAACAATAGTTGTATCAAATTATTTGTCATTTTAAAAGTTCAAGACAAATTTTTTTTTCCTTTTTTACCCTTAGTAATAATTATTTTTGAAGACTACAGACACCTCAATTATGGATAATTTTGTTCAAATACCAATGGAGAAAGATTAAATATTAAGATATGAACGAGGGTAAAGTAGTCAAAATCGCACCCTAATTAATTTTTTTTAAGGAGTGTGTACAAGAGAACTATGACAGATAATTTAAGACGGAGGGAGTATAATATTTACACGGAATAAATTGGTGCAAAATTGACACTCTTTACCACAAATGAGTTGGAAGATTAATACCAACTTGAGAAATTCCACGTTGTGATTGAAATTGAACATGAACTCTTGGTCTCATTATCTCCAACTTGGCTCTTTAATCTCAATGGGGAAACTTCTTGACAAATTAAATAGATTTTTTTTTAAAGATTTTGAGTTGTATAATTTACTAAAGTATTACTCTCTCGGGTCCATATTAAGTAATTTTTTCGCCTTTTTTATTTTGGTCCAAAATAAATACTTTTTTTTTACATAATTAAGAATGAATTAACTATAGTTATTCAAATTTGCCCCTATTTACATATCTCAATATGTCAGGTTAACAATATACAAAATTTAATTAAGGGCAATTTAGTTAAAATATTTATTTATTTTTTAGGTGTTTGTATTTTATTAATAGGTGTCCTAAAGACAAAAAAAAATTCACATATTGTAGATCGGAGGGAGTATTATTGAATACCATAACAGGTGTGTTGGGAATTGGATGCGATTGCTCCAACCATAACCAAATGTCTTGAGTTCGAAAGTCCTTTCGGATATTGTTCGGGTCGAAAACGGGTAATGAAAAAAAGGATTACCCAGATTATATATGACTTCTTGTATATGATCACCTTTGGGAGAACTCTCCGTCTCCCTTAACTTGAGGAACCCCCAATTTGAGGCTTTACAAATATAAAAGTTAGACACATTGGTTATTTATTGGTTACTTATTGATTATCTATTTTCTAAATGGATAATATGGTTCTTATCCACATTTGACCCGTTTTTAAAAAGTTCATTATCCAACCCATTTTTAGCGGATAATATGGCTGGTTAACTGTTTTCTTTTAACCATTTTACCATCTCTAATCGTGGCATATGTAACGCGAGTCTGAATTAATCTGATCAATATATTGTAATAAATAATTAAATATTTTTTTATAAAATGACTTCTTGACCAAATAAATTGACTTTGAGTCCCCATCCCAGGAGATTCTNTTTGTAATTTCCTTTCATTATATCAAATTTCTTCTTTTATAAAAGTTGCAATAAATTTAGTGAAAAAATATACTGTTGAGTGTGACTTCTGTTTGTTTGTGCTTTCTGGGAACTTAATCAGCGTCAGCCAAACACCTCCGGCCTAACGTCACACTCTGACGCGGTCTTTTGGACCCACAATATTGTTTTATTACTTATTTACTCGGTGCCATCGGTCATTATATTTGTGTGGCTATAAAAACTTGGAAATTTTTTACATAAGAACAATTGAGCTACCTAGTTTTCAATTTTATAGCTCATATTTCAATTTACAACCAACTAGCCCAAAAATAATATGCTAAGATTCAACATCCAACTCTAATAGGTTCTCAAAATTACTATTTAATTTTTTAAAAATATTGCTCAAGTTTTTAAGTTAATTTTCGAATCAGTAACTGTGACTCAAATATTAGTTCAACAAACCAAATCTGTTTTAGTGGTGAAAATTAGGTTTTTAACAAGTTTAAATATGTGAGTTTCAATTCCGAATTTGATTTTGTGAGAAATTTGGAGTGGGTGTTACTTAGACTTATTAGAAATAGTATAAGGAGGTCGTATATAAAATTTAAAGTTATTTAATGAAGATTTGGAATGGTTTTGAACAAGAATTGCAACTAAAAATCGTGGAAGAAGTTCGTCTATAAACGCTTGTATAAACGTGTATAAAAATATATAATAGTGTATAAGATGTGTTTATACACTCATATACACTATTATACAAGATTATACATAATTATACAAAAAACTGACTTCGTCTTCTTCCTTGCGTCTTTTTCTGAAATTTAACTCAAATATTGCTCAAATCTACTCCAAATCACTTCAAATTTAAATTTTGAACTCGTTTTGTTATTTTCAATCAATTGGAACAGCACCCAATCCAAACAACTAACAAACTCAAAAAATTCTATTTTCGAAAGCAAAGCTTTGAATGGCCTTCAATGGTGGACTTCTACTTTTCAATTTTTTTACACTGCAACCAGGTGACATTAAGGGAGAAACAGTAATGGCGGACGACCCCTTGAAGCCTATGTAAAAGATGTGAGAAGAAGAGAGAGTGAAAGCAATGGTTGTGAGAATACAAATTTAACTGTGTGACTTTTAGAAGCAATGGTTATAAGAATACAGATTTTGAATTTGCAAGAACTAGTGTTTTCAAAATATGTACAATATGGGCTAGGTCGGGTAAAACTTAAAAACATGGGCTATTTATTGTTATGGTGTGAAGTCATGTGTATTTTCTTGTAATTTTTTCTAAAAGCTTTTCATTAGGAGCAAAATTATTAAAATAAAAAATTTAAAATTAAATTATTTTTAAATATTAAAGTAATAAAAAAATACCTCATCTAAATTGAAACGGAGATGATAATAAAAAAATTCATTAAGAGTAACTTATTTTTAAAAATAAAATATATTATTCTTTTAAAATAAATTAATAAAAAAATAATATCACTTAAAATGAAATAAAGAAAATACCTAATAATGATGATATTTTGGGATTCAAAATTCACCATGCTTTGTCAGTTTCATGACACGCTGCGAAAATTATTTTAGTTACGTAACATTTTTCACATGAAATAAATAATTAAATAGAAGAAATTTTTATAAGGTCATTATCTTTTATTCAAATAATAACGAATCAAGAAAGATTACTCTAAATGCGTAGCATTTTTAGTATTACTAAATACTAACTTTCCTTGAATTACTTGTACTTTTGCTACATTAATAATTTAAGATTACTTTAGTCAACTCTAGTTTGCTATTAATAATCTTAAACTAATTAGTAAATCTTCTGTCCCATTGTTATTTTCCTATTCAGCTCGTTATAAGCCATAATCTGATCCACTATAGGTAAAAATTCAATGTAATATCTTGTGTTTATGTCAAAGTCTAAATGTTAAATATAATCAGCAACTGTTCTACATGTATTTTTTTCAGTCAAAACTATTAATTATTAATTAATTTGAAAGAAATTTGACTTCTCACTTCTATAGCATGTCTTTATGATGAAATAATTATAAAAATACAAGTCTTAGTGGAGATAACGTAATTATAAAAATATTAACCATGGTTATTTTGGCAAAAAATTATTATACCCTATCTTCTTTGGATCGACAGTATTTGAGAGAAAGAATAGACTTGTAGCTTAGCAGGCGTTTGGCCATAAGTTTTGGAAGTTTTTTTCCAAATTTGAAATGTGTTTGGGAAATTTTGAAAATCAAAACTTCAAATCCCAAATATAGCTTAAGATCTTTTTTGAGCCAAATTATGATTATTTGAGATTTTTTAGCTGATAAAAAATGGCTTTTTCACATGTTAAAACTTGCTCCAAAATTTATATCCAAACACATTTTCAATTTTAAATCAAACTTCGTGGGCGTTTGGACATAAGAATTGTAAAATTCCAAAAAAAAGTAATTTTTTTTTCAAGTGAAAATGATATTTGAAAATTAGAGTTGTGTTTGGATATAAATATAATTTTGGGTTATTTTTGAATTTTTGTGAGTGATTTGAGTGAAAATTTTGAAAAAAGCTTTTTGCAGTTTGTCAAATTTTCGTATAATTCCAAAATTTATCTTCAAGTAAAAATTGAAATTATTTTAGCCAGACGCTAATTTTGAAAAAAGTAAAGTAAAAAAAAATAAAAAAAAATAATTTTTTCTTAATCTCCAAACGGGCTTTAGCCAAATCATTTTTTCAAAAAATATTGGCAAATCTTTGTCCAAATGAGTTCTTAGGCTAACTTACAACTTTGATTGCACTAATTTGATAGTACATGGTTCAATTCAAAATAACTTATTTTTAGACTCATATACACATCAAATTAATAAATGCAAGTCAATATATTTTATATGTATGTATTGGTTAAGGTAACGAACTAATATATGATAAAATAATTAAGTTAAGCATGAATTGATCTGAGCATCACTATTTTTCTAGTTCGATATACAAAATATTTCGTATTCATGAATGTCCAAGAAGAAGAGCATCTAAGGAGTGTAATGTTGATAGCCTAATTTAATGTATGCTTCTACGGCGAGAACACGTAACCTATAATTACACGAAAATAACTTTATAATTATTCCACGAGTACACGCACTTCGAGATATATCATGGCATTCGACGCAGAATATTCTCCAAAAGGCAAGACATTGCGCACGTGGTATCAGTCAGTAACTTTGAGATCTAACAGGGGTATTACAAGCAATTACAACACAATTACAAGGGTAATTTCGTCCTCTTATTTTGAGTCTCTGACTATATAAGAAAATACTAAACTCCTGGTTTCTTCGTCAATCAGCACAAGACAGTAGTCAAATTCCTCTTCTCTCTCGCTCTGTTTTAGCATAAGACAAAAAGGTTCTAACTTTCATCTGAATATTAATTATGTTACTCTTTTTATTTATTTATTATTATTAGGTATATATCTCTCATCTCTGATTTTCTTGGTAAAGTACTCCTACGGGAAAGTGTTTGATTTTCTGTATATTTTTGTTAATTTTGACTTAGTCTAAGTTGTTTCCATTAACTGCAACCTATTGTTTGTTAATGTATAGTTCGTGGTATAAGGAAAGAATTAAACTGAAGTCTTTTAGGTGTTTGCTTCTTTTGTTCTTGTTTTGAAGAAATTTTATTGTTCAGAAGTTAATTAGAGCTTTGGTCGTTTGAATTTCATGTTTCTGTTAGGTTCAGTTTTTTCATTTCTAAAGTTAAAAGGTTTTATCTTTTTAAATTTTTTTCTGTCATTTGCAGCCCATTATTCTTATTATTTTTTCCTTTTGTCATTCTTTTTATTTTAATTTTTTGTTTGGCTGGTTGGGGTTAGCTACTGTAACATATATGGAGTGACAATCAACCTAGATAAACCTAGACCTTGTTACTTGTTAGTAGTGGCAAACGAGGAGTCGATTGGAGGTTAGAAGATAAACTAACACGAAGCTTCATTCTATGTGAAGTGTTCATTTCTTTTTCAGTCAGGTTTCGTTTAATTTGTTGTGGACTATGGTGCTCTGACTCTCCAAAAATGCCGATGAGTGTGTGTCGATCTTCCAAAAGTAGTGCATTTTTAGAGGTTCGACAGGAGTGCGGCAACTATTTTGAAGAGTCCGCGCAACATAGTTGTGAACTGTATATGGAAAAACTGGGCAAGCTACAGTTTCAAAGCTTACCTTATTTAGAAAAGAAGGAAGTTTCTTTTTTTAGACGTAGACTGAAGAGCATAGCGAGCCATGCTAGTCTAGATTGAGGTTTTGTTAATTTGTCGATGATCTTGCTAGTTCTTCATGGTTGGTGATTTTGAAGATTGTCTCTTTGTTTGAAGATTATTCATGGTTTCTAGTCTATAAAAGGAAATTTGATTTTAGGCGTATCTATAAAATCATCAAAGGAGCTTTTTTCCTATAGGTCACGGGTTTGAACTGTGGAATCAGCCATTGATTCTTGCATTAGGTTAGGCTTCTACATCACACCCCAGTGGGGTGCGGCCCTTCCCCGGATCCTGCGTGAACGCATGATGCTTCGTGCACTAGGCTACCCTTTAATAAAATCAGCAGAGGGACTTTTTTTCTAGTGCTTTTCCTATTAAGAGGTTTATGGTGGCAATGATTAATGAGTTGATTTTAATTTGATAGTATTTGTCAATAAGTTTTCTAAACTCTTTGGTAAACCTACTGCTGCCTTTGTATTTTTATTACAGTCATATTGGGAGTTATAGACCGGATACAATTTCTGGTAAATTTGCTGTCTATCTATGTTCTTTTACTAATGTGAGTTAGTTATACTTAGATCTTCCACTAAATGGTCTTCCCTCATTAGGAGCTGCAACACAAACTTCATTAATTAGTGTCGTTTAATGCTTTCCCTAATTCCTTCCTTGATATATCGAGATCTCATGTATGACAGAGTAATTACACCATCTGGATTCGCTTGACTCAGTTTAAGATGAAACGATCCCAACTTGTTCTTTTTTCCATTTATCTGTTTATGTAATGTTCCTTTTTAACTCACTTCATGGGTATGTAACACATTGTGTCTTGGTCAAGGGCGAGCAACCTTTTTGCGAGGGTGACATGCTATGGAATTAGAGGATTGTTGAACTGATGAAACTATTGGATCTGCTGATCTAATATGCATTTTCCATTTTTCTATTGGTTTAGTCCTTGATGAGAAGGGGAGCCTTGGCGTAACTGGTAAATTGCTGCCATGTGACCAGGAGGTCACGGGTTCGAGCTGTGTAACAGCCTCTTGCAGGAACGCATTGTAAGACTGCGTACAATAGACCCTTGTGGTCTGGCCCTTCTCCGGACCTTGTGCATCGGGCTGCCCTTTTAGTCCTTGATGAATGATTATACTTTGTCTCTTGCCCTGTTTTTTGGTATATTCTTCCTTTCATTGTACTTGTTTGAACTTTGCCAGAAAAAAGATGTCGATATTCATTTCTACTTATCTTGTCATAATATCTGACACTGATCAAGTTAGCATTTTGGCTCTAAAAGGAAGGCTTCTTTGTTCTATTGTGACAAATCTTTTGTGACCTTTAGTATTCATTTTAGAAAGTTCGAACTCACTAAGCATACTGATCATGTTTTACTTCTTGGCAGATTTTGTTGGTTCTGACAATTTGATCGACGGTGCACTGGAATTATCCAATCTGCTCTAGTGCTTCTAATTCAGCTCAGTCATTCTCTTCTGAAAGAACATCTGCTCTTTGAGATGTTGTGACGTGTTTTAGTGAAGACATTTCCTGACTGCATGCATCCTTCACTAAGTGTGAAGGTTTGGCAAATTGAAGATAGCCTTTCTTTGCAACAGTTGCTTGAATTACCCTAGAGCATCTTAGCCTATTCGAAGTGCGTTAGTAACTTATCCCCAGATGCAAGCATCTCAGGGACCACGAAGGTCGGGCGATGTCCATAGACTGTACCATCAGCCAATGCAGCAAGTTCAGCAATACTACACTCCTTACCAGGCTGTTGACAACAACATTTATAACGATAGCAGCAGCTCGGGGACACAGTTCTCTTTCCAGACACAGAATGAACAGGTCTTCACTCTGGACTCATTGCCGGCTACTGACTATGCCATATACGATGCAGCTCCTTCCGTGAGCGTCTCTTCCAACAGGAGTCCCTTCTCTCCTCAATGTTCTCAGTCATACATTTCTGATCCACACCATTCATTTGATAACACTTGTGGTTCGCCTGTAAGTGGGTGTTCAGGAGTCGATGATGGCAACGGAATGAAGCATGCGCTGTGGGAACTGAAGAATAAGTTGCGAGGGCCTGAATCTGATATTGATGATAGCAGCAGTTGCTCGTTCAATGGTGTATTCTCAAAACCATCTTCCTTGACAAAGCGGAATCAAGTATTGGACATAGCCTCCAGATTGGACTTAAAAGATCTGCTTTTAGCCTGCGCTGAAGCAGTAGCAGAAGCTGATATCTCAACTGCTGAAGTTCTGATGAATGTCTTGGAGCAAAGGGTATCGGTTTCTGGCGAACCTATGCAACGACTGAGTGCTTACATGTTGGAAGGGCTAAGAGCACGATTACTGTCCTCCGGAAGTACCATATACAAAAAACTGAAATGCAACGAACCAACTAGCTCAGATTTGTTGTCTTACATGCAAGTCCTCTATCACATCTGCCCGTACTACAAGTTCGCCTATATGTCCGCCAATGTCGTCATCGGGGAAGCCATGAGGAATGAGAATACAATCCATATCATTGATTTTCAAATAGCACAGGGAAGTCAATGGATGTTCCTCCTCCACGATCTTGCTCGTCGGCCTGGTGGACCGCCATATGTCCGCGTCACAGGCGTCGATGATTCCCAATCAGCTCATGCACGGGGTGGAGGACTTAAGCTAGTCGGTGAAAGGTTAGCAAAAGTTGCGGAGTCTTGTGGAGTGTCTTTCGAATTCCATGGTGCTGCCATGTCAGGCTGTAGGGTCGAACTAGAGAACCTGCAAGTTAGACATGGAGAAGCACTGGCAGTTAATTTCCCTTACATGTTACACCACATGCCAGATGAGAGCGTAAGCACTATGAACCATCGAGATCGCCTATTAAGACTAGTGAAGAGCTTGTCTCCCAAAATTGTCACCCTAGTTGAACAAGAATCGAACACCAACACCGCCCCTTTCCTTCCAAGGTTCCGTGAAACTCTAGATTACTACACAGCAATGTTTGAGTCAACTGATGCAGCTCGTTCAAGGGATGACAAGCAGCGGATCAGTGCAGAGGAGCATTGTATTGCACGAGATGTTGTCAATATAATAGCATGTGAAGGGGCTGACAGAGTGGAAAGACACGAACCATTTGGCAAGTGGAGGTCAAGACTTGTGATGGCTGGATTTACTCCTATCTCTTTGAGTCCATCAGTTGGTGAGACCATCAAGGACATGTTGAAAGAGTATAGCCCAAATTATAAGCTTGCCGAAAGCCAGGAGGTGCTTTATCTTGGATGGAAGAACCGAGCTTTGGCAACTTCTTCTGCTTGGCGATGACATTGTTGCGATTGTTGTCTGAGATCTGTAAATTTTGCCTTCGCGATCTTGACGTTAGCATTTTCATAGACTAGAAGAGTGTTTCTTTAGGAAAGAAAATAGCTTTAAGCTCCATAGTAGAGAAAGTCTACTCAACTTCAACTGTTGATGAAGAAATTAGCAGGTTTTTTTTATTTTTTATTTTTTTTTATTTTAAAAAAACCAAACTTACCAGCTCTCTCAACCAGATTTTGAACCTTCATTTGAGCTGTATTCTGCTGTGCCATCTTGTAATGATAAATCTGTTCTGGACCTCAGTGAGCATAAGGTTTGCTATTTTATTGTTTTTCTTTTAGTTAACATGTTCTCTTTGTTTGTCAACTGTTTAGCATAGTTGAAGGTATGTATATTAGTACTAACTGCCAACTTGGTCTTACGGCTGCTTATTGGGCGGATTGTTACGCTCAATTGCCCGGTTTATTGGTTATCGACTTGTAAATGTACTTATTCGCTAGCCAAACTGATAAGATATCGGGCGGATTTCTATCAGTTTAATAATTATCGAGCGGTTATCACAACATTTTACGTCCCGACATGATTGTCATGTCCATTGACATTTGAGATATGCTATCTTCAGGGCCTTCACTTTAGGGCTATTTTTCACTGGTAACAAACTAAATTGAGTTTGGAGACACATATGGAAAATAATCACCTGAAATTAATAATTACAAATAACTATTTAAGTTATTTTAAACTAAATGTTATAGTAAGTAAAATTTAGTAATTTTATTGTTCAGGGTATGAAGTTCAGTTATTGTAATGTGATAGTGCCAAATGTTAATTATGGGATGATACTATAACCATCTGATTAACACAACCAGCAAACGATAGTTTTATATTGGCCGTTAGTCTATCCCAATCTTTCTTTTTATCCAAATAAAAAATACAGTCAGTAAATATTCATATAATCGACCTTAATTTATTGTTATCATAGCTTTCCTCATTAATCCCTTTCTTCTTGTTTGTCTCATCCATGTGTATTTATTTATTTATTTATATCCTTTTGATACTTTGATTAAATAAAATGTTAAACTGTTCTAATTATTTATGTCGGCCAAAAAGCAGATTATTCTTTAATCATATTATTAGAGGATATTTGTAGCTTTGACATAGCATGGGACAGGCTGCCACCGTCCATGTTTTGAGTTGGGGTTCATCCCTTTCCTCCACATTAAGGAAGCTGCCCACAAATATTTTTTGAATGATTAATCATTGACTAATGTTTATTCTCATTTATTTTAACTATTGTAATTACTTTAATTTTTTTTTTTCAAAAAATTCTTCTAAAACCAATGAACATTTTTCACATACATGTGAGATAGTGGGGTGAAAAAACAGAGCCCCATCTAGAATTTAATTTGATGGCTTCAATTTTTGTGTTTTTACCTTGGAGGGTAGTGTGTACGCAGACCTTACCCCTACCCTAGGGTAGAGAGACTGCTTTCAAATAGAAACCCGGCATCTTTCCCTCTAAGAACTTCCCACCTTGCTCTTGGGGAGACTCGAACTCACAACCTCTCGATAAGAAGTGGAGGTTGTTTACCATCAGAGCAACCCCTCTTGTCAAACATATACGTTCAGAATTTAGTAGTTTTTGAATATTTAGTAGCTTTTACAAACACATATACACGTATTTCATATAAAAAAAATATTGGATTCAGTTGAAACTAATTATTATATAGTCCATTCGGGTATATATAGAAGGAGAAGAAATGAATTTGAGAATGTGTTTCGAATAAATTGAGAATCAGTGGCTAAAAAAGGAAAAAGAAAAAGTGAAGGCAATACTTCCACGTGGTAAATTATAGCAAATGGAAGTTCACATAAAGCTATGGGTGATTTGATTTTATAATTTAGATAAATATTATTTTAATTATATGATCTCTTACACGGAAGATTTGTAGAAAATAATAATATAAGATAATGGTAAAAACTTTTTTATATCCATGTTTACATAAAACCATACTAATTTACTATTATTAGGTGATAAATTAAGGTGAAAATATATACTTATTAGCTAACAGTACTTTAATGATAAAAATGTGTTGGAAGAAATGTTTCAAATATTTATTGAGTTGGAATATATTATAAAATACACAAAAATTCTTTGTAAAAGTTATTTTCTTTCATTTAAATTATAATGCACATGCACTTAGGAAATCATTTCCTCCAAAACTATACTAGTATTTGTTTGTAAAAACTATAAATAAATAAGAACTCACCATCTTCCACCCTCTTACCAGCTTCTACATTTCTCACACAAGAGGATAGCTAAAGAAGCTCTGTCATTCACAATATAATACTCCTATACAAATATGTAATGTAGTTAATTAGTTATATACAAATTGTACATATATATAAATTTTAGCCTTTTTGAGATTTGAATCAGTTTTCTTCATAACCACTCTCCTTTTTCTCTTACCTTCATCTCTCTCCATTCACAGGAACTCTAACAATTTGGCCTTGAAATTTTGGTAAATTCAAGTATTCAACCTCTTAAATTTTACATATTCAAATATTTTTGTATGTTTCATGTCAAAGTTTCAATCTTTGTGGCTTTTTTAGTTTGTGGGGTTATATTCTTTTTGAATGTTTCATGTCAAAGTTTCAGTACTTATGAGTTTTTCAAGAATTCAGGTTTGTGGGTATGTTGTTTTTGGATGTTTTAACTCAAAGTTTCAATATTTATGACTTTTTCAAGAATCTGGTTTGTGGGTATGTTTTTTTGGATGTTTTAAGTTAAAGTGTCAATATTTATGAGTTGTTCAAGAATTCTGGTTTGTGGGTATGTTTTTTTGGATGTTTTAAGTTAAAGTGTCAATATTTATGAGTTGTTCAAGAATTCTGGTTTGTGGGTATATATTTTTTGGATGTTTCAAGTCAAAGTTTCAATCTTTATGACTTTTTCAAGAAATATGGTTTGTGGGTTTGTTGAATTTTGATCTGTTGAAAATTAGATGATCTCTAGTTGAACACTTGAACTGCAGATTATACATTCCTTGAATGTTTATTGGAATCTCCAATTTTTTTGGTAGTTTCTTTTGTTTGAGATGCTATTCTTTTTACTTGATCTGCATTTTGATATTTCATATGGAATAGTTTCATTGATGATGCAATGAATTCTTGGTTGAGAAGTTCATAAGAAAAGCTCAAGTTGAAGTTTATGCAAGCTGTTTCAAGAATCCAACTTTCTGATTTTAAATCCTTTGTTAAGCCTTTTACTTGGCCAAGTGAATGATTTGAAGAACTTAATTTTAGATATCGAATATTTACACAATTAGGTCACTGGTTAGTAATTACGGGTAAATCCTTACAACAACGACAACAAACTCAATATAATCTCACAAGTGGGGTCTGGGGAGGGTAGTGTGTATGCATACCTTACCCCTACCTAGAAAGTAGAGAAGCTGTTTCCGATAGACCCTCGGCTCAAGAAAAAATAAATATTAATTGGTAATCTGGTGAAAATGGTAACTAATCTGCTATTACGGGGTAAAACTTACTGACAATATTAAAAAATCTTTACACTGTCAATGCATATGACTTAAATCCTTTGAAGTATAGTTGGAGGAGAGTCTTTTGCTAACTCAATCAATTCACAATTATGCTTGGTTTCGTTTTCGGATGGATGATTGAAAATGTTATTGTTATCTGCAGAGAAAAAATGGAGAGTGGCAAATTATTTGTTGGAGGGGTTTCTTGGGACACCAATGATGATAGGCTCAGAGAATATTTTCAAGCTTTTGGTGATGTAGTTGAAGCTGTGATCATGAAAGATCGGACCACTGGCCGTGCTCGTGGTTTTGGCTTTGTTGTCTTTGCAGACCCTTCGATTGCTGAAAAAGTTGTTAAAGAAAAACACATGATTGATGGAAGAACTGTAAGTAATCTTAGAAATATTTGGTGAAATTTTGTGCTTATGAAGTATATCAAATTCTGACTGTGAGATACTTATCAGTGAGAGTGTGAATTTATGATTTTCAGAAGAGCTGTAATTGCTTAAGATTACAATAATATACATTTGGAATGCACATTCATGACATTTATACAGTTTTCATGTGTTGGACATATGTAAAATATTGGCATTGCATCATTTCAACGAAGAAATTGATTCAGCCTGATGAGTGTTAGTGTTACATAAGTGAATCTGTTAGGGGCTGCATAATACGGATGTAATGCAAGTGCCGAGTAATAGCACCATTGGTCAACTAATTTGAAATGATCTATAAAATATTGGGGGATGGGGTATATCGCTAATATGTTGCGTGAAATGAAAGGGTGTAGTAGTTATTACGTGGAAATATGGATTAAAACCATGCGTTAATTAGGTAGATGTATCTCTGAGGATTTAGGTTATTTATCATCTTATTCTCTTTGAACAGTCAAGACTTTCTAACTCCATAACGAGAAAACTATATGTCTGTAGCAAGGTAAGGAAAGCCAAATAACATAGTAATTGTATGCCCAGCAAAACAATGTGTGTTCTTTTAAGTGAAGTCAGATATTTCATGAAGTCTTAGCAGAAAAGAAGGTATACTTTGTTGATTATTTCCTTTTATAAACAGGTAGAGGCGAAAAAAGCTGTTCCTAGGGATGATCAACTTGTTACTAAAACCAATGTAAGTATTCAGGGTTCTCCTGGTCCTGTTCGCACCAAAAAGATTTTTGTCGGAGGTTTGGCATCCTCAGTCACCGAGATTGATTTCAAGAAGTACTTTGACCAATTCGGGACGATCACAGATGTTGTGGTGATGTATGACCAGAACACACAAAGGCCTAGAGGTTTTGGATTCATCACCTATGAATTAGAGGAGGAAGTTAATAAAGTACTATACAAAACATTTCATGAACTTAATGGTAAAATGGTTGAGGTCAAGCGTGCTGTTCCAAAAGAGTTATCGCCTGGGCCAATCCAAAGCCAATTAGGTAGATATAACAATGGTGTGAACAGGGTAAACAATTTCCTAAATGCATATCCTCAAGGTTACAGTCCGAGCTCGATGGGAAGCTATGGAGTCGGAATGGAAGGTCGATATAGTCCAACTCCTGTTGGTCGCAATGGATACTCTTCGTTGACTCCAGCTGACTATAATATGGGAGCAAGAATAGATCACTCCAGATTGAGTTCAAGCTTTGGAGGAAGTGGAAATTTCAATTCTATTCTTGGTTATGGACGTAACTTAAATTCCTTTCATGACGAGAATTCAAACAGATACAATGTTCCTGCGGGGTATGACCCTGGAAGAGCTGGAAATGGTTCTACATTGAATTCAACA